TTTAATACCATATAGGTATAAGTATATAATATGTCTTATACCTAGACTGACATACCGTCTCTGCTCAGAATCGTTTTTCTTATACAATGATATTATATCATTGAACTCAAATTTAATACCATCTATTAAACATTGACCCACTTGTAACATACTGTCGCAGAGCGACATCCACTGGCTCACCTTTTTATATTAGTAAACTCTATTTTGTTATTCTTGCGTGATGCCTGTGTACTAGATTAATTTATAATAACACTTGAACCTAGGTAGTTTTAAAATTACTTTCAATATAGGTAGACTTATTTTTGGAGTACACAATTTATAGTCCTTTATCAAAAAACAATTTTGATTTAATCAATAACAGTTGTTCTTCGATTAATATTCTCAAATTTTGTACAAATTTAATATTCAAATGTCTTTAAAAAAAAACTGTTACTATGTCTCTTTATTATTTATTTTTTTATTTAAATTTTACTGGCTTCAATATCTAAGGTTATTAGTAGGGCTCGGATTTCAATTGATTTGCATCTATTTTTTTGAATGTCTTACACGAAGCTTTTCAAACTACAAATATGTTTGAATAATCTATGTTATAACTACAAAAATTTTAGGGGGCATTTTGACTTTTTCAATGCATTTCTTAATGTTTTAAGACATTTTTGACCCGTATGTCGTATTGTGACTAAAAATGGACTTCATTGAAATATAAACATAGTACTACGTAATATAAATCATTTTCATTTAAAACTATAAATAACATCAGGTTATCTGGTTTTAAATTAGACAAAGTTGAAATTTGTCATTGTAGTGTAATACAAATTTATTTTTTACATTTATAAATGTACCTACACAATTTTACATATTGATTGCATCTTTTGAAAAGGGATTTTTTTTTTTAGGGCATTTGAATCCGAGCCCTATTTATATTCAAAAATGTATTTACATGTACCTATTTAAGGTACCTTTTTATGTTAAGCGTGTTTGACATATATTGCATATTTGCAGATGATCTTTGCTCATTATGAAGGATTATACGTTTATATGTATACTTAATATTTTGAAATAATTATTATATCAACTTATAAGGAACCTTGTATTAAATGTTCAACAATTTTTTCCGATCGATAATTGTTATCGATATTTATAGAAAAAAATTAATACTTTTTTACTCTACTAGATCAATAACTTTAAATATTATCTCAATAAGAGTCCAAATATTTTTTAAATATTACCATGTATATAAAAGGAAATTTGGTAAAAATGTCAGGTATTTCAAGTTATTTGTTTTTGAATTACAACAAAATAAAAAATAGATTTTGACCAAATACTATAGTCTTGCGTAATAATTCCTGTTCTTTCCGATTATTTAAAAAAAGTGATGGAATTTTAATTTTGACCTCCCAAAAGTAATAGCTAGAATTACTATTGTCCTACCAGAAAATATATTTAAGTTGAAAATCGAAGCATTTGTTCTACACTTCGACCATAGATCGTGGTCAAACAACAAGAAAAAGGTGGGGAAGTTTGTATACACTGCAGTACAGTAGGTATCTATTGGGTCATTGTAATGGATGTGTTACATTTTAATTCACGGATAAATCATTTTATAAGATTAAAAACAATTCTGAGCGAATACTATAATTTTTTTGGTAACTACCTACCTATAGTTTATAACAATATTACAATATTACTAAATTATCGTATTTTTGTTTTCAATTCCCAATTATTTTTTAAAATACTGCGAATATTTTACTTTTGACCAAAGTACAAACTAGATCCAATTTGCGACCAAAAACTACCCTCAAAATCCAAAGAAATTGAAGCATTGTTACTATTATAAAAAAGTGTCTTCAAACGCGATAAAAAAAGCACACATCATTATTATATAGTCAACACAATCATCGCTCCACTTATAGAATCAAAAACTTGACATATTTTTTTTGTCTTAAAGGATTATTTTCTGGAAATTCTTCAACGACCTCTTTAATCAACATTTATTTTGGAAGACACTAGCATGTAGCTGATATAATAACAATCGTACTTAAGACATGCCTTCCGCCGCAGACTGTTCTGTTTAATTTTTGTAATACGAAACTGTACTCTAATTTGACGCGTTCTCTTATGTGCGACTGTCATAGATTGCCACCCGTCAACTACCCACATTGCCCCGATGGTTGACCCGGTGCGTTAGTTTAGCCCAAAAAGGTAATCTAATTAATGAGTCAGGTTTTCCGACGATAAGAATTAAAACCAGGCTTGTTCCGACGCACGTCAACGGCGCTACTCCGTCACCGTCCCTTATTCGTGTCAGTCGTTTAGGACGTTTAGGACTTTAGGTAGGTACTGAAATTTAGCACAAGTATTATTTCGTTTCATGGTTTCCTAGTCTCTGATCATTTTAACCGTAATTTTGGTACAATATTAAACTCGTAATATGCTTCTGAATGACCCACACGAATTTCGTCAAATATCCAACTTCACACCTCCATGGTTGTTGTTTACGCATCACTATTGTTAATTTTGACCTTTCAGCCATCTCTATCAATAAAAGTGTCTACAATTTTAAGAACTCAAGAAATAACTGATGCACTAACTAAAATAAAAGTATTAATGTATTCAAAACTAACTATAATATTCCTTGTTCATATTCTTATAATATCAATTATTTATTAGATATGTAACACAAATACAATAATAATCGTTTAATTTATGTTTCACGACAATTTACATTCTTGTTTAGTCCTACAAGAGTTGTTTTAAAAAAGTTCTTATATGTTCATAAATTGTGTACTAGTTAACATTTATACCAATCTCAAAATTGTTAGTTAAAGAAAAATAATAATAATAATAAACTTTTTAGGGAATATTGATGACGATACGATGAATGTGAATACTTAAATAACCTATATTTTATTAAGTATTTATTATCTTAATTTAGTCTACTGATTTCTTGATCAATATTATTATATATTTTAAACATTATTTTATTATTTTCCAGTAGATATAATATATATTTCGTTGCACAATATTAAAATGTGTGAATTACCGTACAGTTAAAAACTGTTATTTTTATAACAAACGTAAAGTAACAATGTTTGAACAAAAATATTAATATGAACATATTATACTTTTCAGTAGTAGGAACTATGTACATATGTATCTTTATCTATTATATACCACTTCTAGCCATTATGTAGGTCTTTTAAAACCATATACATATAATATATATATATGATCATTATTCATTACTATAAAAAAAATTTTTATTAAAAATGCATAATAACTCATTATATTATGTACATTTATACATATATATATATGTATATTAAATATATATTGTATTTATTATTGCTATGTAAAATGTTAAGTATTGATTATTTTTTAAAACTGAAATAAGTGCATTAAATTGTTTGATGAACCTCTAACCGTAATACAATAAATTGTATAATTACTTAAAGTATTTTTGTGCTTTAAACAATTCTAATTAAAAAATACTTGGTCCAAGCAAGTTTTTATAAAGTACCTATTTGAAATATGTTTTTGAATTTTAATCTAATACTTTACAATACTACACACAATATATTTGTGATTATATATATGATGCATAATATATTTTATAATATATTACATGCATATTCATATATATTATATTTGTATATTAATTTTTGACCGTGCCAAAAAGACTTTCATTTCAGATAATAGTGTCCTCAAGTTAACATAAAAAAAGGAAGGGACTTCCTGTATTCTCAACCAAACACACTAAAAAAGACCTAAAGAGCACAAAAAATCATACAAGCTCCAGCTAGAGAGCTAATTAGTCAGCTTTTTGACACTGCTTTTTCAACTCCCATATTCTCAAAATTAACTAAAACCATCAACGTAAAGTTAATCATCTAAAAAAGCCTATCATTACACAAGTAACATGTAATATGGCAAAGTAGTAATGTCGATCATTGAACTCAATCAAACATGGACATCCCTCAATAGTTAAGAAAATCTATCTTAGAAAAGAATAACTATAAACATTAAAAACGTAGATAATACACACACACACACACACACACACACACACACACACACACGAGCACACACACACCACTCATCTACTTACATTTACATAATAAATTACACAACAACCAGTAGTAGCATATAAGACCATTACCCTACATCTATCTAATAATCCATATACAATTGCAGCATATGGAATACCGGCCATCATGACTCCCCGTCATGTTCGACGTATGACCTTTTGCGGTGTAGTTACATTTTACACATACCCGTATTTAACAAATAATATATTTTATTGAATCAAAAGAAATATTTTAACATTTTAACGCCAGAAAAATAACTGCATAATATATAATAATAATTCATCTACCCACTATTCACTTTTACCGTCCTTTCCCTACGCTTTTTTTTATACTTCTACACCACCAGCACAACTCCCGGCATTCCGGTATCCTGCACCTCTGATTATTTAATGTTTTATTCAAATTTGTCATTCAATCATTTATTTTTGGTTACCATAAAACGATTATTCTTATTTTGAATTATATTATATTAAATCCGTTTTCAATCATTAATTCATTTCATCCAAATATCCAATATCCCTATATTATATAAGAAAAATACAACATTGAAAAAATGAAATGAATAAATAATTTTGTTGAGTTATTTTAATATAAACCAAGATTCAAAAATCGTATTATGATAAAATATACTTAATAACACACTAAGTTCGGTTTTCAAATCGCACGAAACAGATAAACAACGCGTGACTTTTTAAACATATTTTATTAAAAATAAAAGTTATGTACCTGTCCTACCTACCTGTGTACTATACATAGTATAGGTATGTATGGTATTCTTATTATAATAAAAATATAAGCAAACATACTTTGAGAACAGATAGGTATTATACATAAAATATGCATATAAATTGTTTCTGTTTTATACCGATGCTTGAATTGTAATAGACTTTTAAGACATTTTAAATTCTATCAATGTTAATTTGGTTTGACTTTAAGGTGATACTGGGTGGTGGCAGAAGACACTGGTTACCAAAAGTAGCACAAGATCCAGAACAACCCACTGACGAGGGTAGACGATTGGACGGCCGGAATTTGATAGACGATTGGATTAGAGACAAAAAGAAACGAAACATTAAAGCCGAATACGTATGGAATAATAGTCAGTTGGACAAAATCGATGCGAAAAATGTTGATTATCTTTTAGGTAAGTCTATGAATAATCATTAGAATAATGATAAAAAGTTAAAATAAAATCACTTTTGACAAAAATGTCGTTAAATCAATAATAGTTGTATAGAATAGAAATGAAATAAATAAATATAGCCAATTGCAAAGGTAAAATTAAGATTTTAGCACTGTCAGCCTAGGGCACTAGTGTATAGCATCAACCAATTTATTACATATAGGTACCTATTATGTCCTATGTATTATAAAGACAATCGCAATTTTTTTAATTTATTTCATATTTCTATGCAATATTTTATAATCCTGTGACGAAGCAAAATTGCAGAGGGAATACTAAATTTTGTTCCATTTTATAAAATTAATGGCACGCTGTTTTTTTCTTTTGAATAAATTAATTGTGTAATTTTGTTTTATAGAACTGATTTAAGTGTAGTAATTAATACATTTGTATAATAATTAAAGTTGCAATTTTATTTTAATTTAAAACGGTTTTTACTTAATTCACACTGCTGGGTGGCGTTTCCTGTTGTAAAACTTTACATCCACCACATATAGACTGGAATCGATAATGCGAGATAAAAAGTTATGAAAAAATTGATTTAACACAACAAGCCTTTCGAAATATTGAAATTGAGTCTATTTATACCATGCAGATGGTTTATGGTACGTCGGTATTGGTTTATGAGTTAATAACAGCTTCAAATATTATATGAAATAGTATTATTTACTATTAATATTAGTAGTAAAATATTTTACTATTTTGTATATATTATGATACAAGCGGTTAATGTTTGCCAAATAACGAAACACGTTTTTACAATCAAAAATGTTTTTCTTTATTTTCTATAAGATTTACGTTAGTAAAACTAACGTAAGTTTTACTAACGTAAATCTTATAATAATTTGTTTATCTTTTTTTTACTATCTTGTATTGTACTCAAACTTTTATACCCCCCAAAACAAGCTTATGCCTAAAGGGTAGTTGCAAACATGTGTCTTACATATTTCTTCTCATATATTAGTGTAAATGTATATTGTTTTTGCTAAATAAAATTATTATTAAAATTATTATTATTATTAAATAAAATTTTTATTGTTTTTAGTCTATGTATAGCAGTATAGGTAGTAGGTTAGTACAATGACATTTAATTCAAGATAAAATGTAATGGAAATATGTCAAATATAATGTTTAACAGTGTAATAAAAAATATTTCATGTTAATTTAAAACTACCAAAAATATGTAGGTACAAATTTTTGTAGAAGAATTTGAAGATTAAAATATTGTGTCAAGATATTTAAACGAAAAACAACGATTTGTCATTGAATGATTTTAGTTATTTTGTCGTAATTCAAAAATATTCATCAAAGAGACTTTAACATTTTTATAATGATTGCGAATATTATTATTTTTCATACACAATTGAATTTTTTAACGCATACAATTATATATTATTTGTAATTACAAACCTTTTCACATTCGATATTTTGTCAAAAAATAAATCAATCAGTCAAATTAAGAAAATGTTAATCATAATATAAATATAATATAACATAAACTGTACTTAGAAATTAATTCTGATCCATTTATCTCTATCATTCAAAATCTTTTTTCCATTTTTTATAATGATGTGTCGTTGAATTCAAATTGATCACATGCCATTCAGAGTTCTACTTAATAACAAAGTATACTTGAAACTTACCTGACAACACAGCTACCTCTACGGTGTTTTATTTCATCTTGTGTGTCCTTAAATATATAAACGTAATACTTAGAAAATCATAACAAGATTAGGTTACAGGTGTGTTACTCGGGATTATTCATTATTTTAACAAATTTTAACCTAGACTATGTACAATAAATAAAGTAAATAAAATATTTATTGTAAAAGTAGATAGAAATCCCATCAGCTAGAAAATGTAATTCAGATTGATCGGAAGTTGTCTATAACTCACATGGTACTAATGACTCGCATTACATCTACTCTCATTAAAAATAAGAATAAGAATATTTATTTTTTTTGACAATATTACATCAACTTTGTCCCAGGTGTAAAACTAAAAACTAAATAATTGGTAAAAAAAATAAGGACAAAATAAAAATACTGGAGATGTTGGAAATCTCCGTGGATATACACTTACAGGCGCAGGATAGACTCCTGCTGCAGTAATTTATTATTATTGTGATATTAAATTCGTAAACAATGACATACAATTTTAAAAACAATTCTGTATCTATTGAAGGAACTTAAAACCACACTTTCCGACATTTATGGACGGTTGTCGTAAGTTTTTGTTTACGATTATATAGAAACTATTGAAAAAACCGAAAAAAATTCGATTTCCGAATGTCGTAACATGAAACTTTTTGAGCACTAACACCCAAAATATAAAAATAAACATTGTTGTGACAACAAATACATTATCGATCAACCCACACATTTCAATCGGTTTCCTCTCCTACATAAATATATATGGAACTCCTCGATCCCAGACGTATAATAATACATTTTTAGTAACAAATAAATACAATTATTTGATTATATTGAAAACTAATTTTACAAAGTATTGTGACACAGTATTAAGAAGTAGTTTTCCTTTACTCGCCTCTTTACATCATAGTGATGTATAATAATTATAGCCTAATAAATTAATAACCTAATATGACATATTATTATAATTTAAAAATATTTTTAATATTGTTAAATGATTATTACGTATATTGAAGCAGTTAAAATTCAAAAAATTCAATATGTTTTCTAGTCAACAAATTATATCATAAATAAATCTAGTATATTATTCAAAATTAAAAAAAAATAATTATAATAATAGTTATCATTAATTCCAAATAGATTGAAAACGCAACGATCACCACATATGCAATATGCTTATAGTTCATTTACACTAATTTTGTTTTTAAGTTTTTATTCTTTTTAAGATTTCACAATTGAGTTTTTAATAATATTGTTTTATAAGTAGGTACATCTTTTATTATATTAGTCATTAGCAATAACTAATTACTTTAGAACATCATTGATTATATTTGTATAATTATAAAGTTACTTTGAACGTTGAAAAACATATTAGCTTATTCCATTTTCATCTCAAAGTGACATTTTGCTATCAAGTTATTATAACTCGTAAGAGTAAATTTTATTTTTAGTGCAGACAATAAAGAAACATAATATCATATACATTTTATTGGACGGTCTGTATAATAATGTTTAAAGTGGGTTAGTATTTCATGTATTCGTATGCGTGTGCAACGTTATGTATACAAAATACATACATAGGGTCATGTATGAATGTTTGATGTACATAATAATAAGCGTGTCCTTATGTGAACTACGTGTACCCGCAGAGTGGGGTTGCTGGTTATATTATTATCCGTGCCAATTTATAATTTAAGTTATTTCTTTTTTTTCATATATTTTTGAATAAGTTTTTTTTTTTAATTTTCTCTCATATTTGCTGTCATACGCTGCACACAATATTTCAAACAAAGTTTCCAAAATAGGTAGTGCAGTTGAGACCATTAAAAATAATATCTTACAACGATTTCTCAAATATATAATTGTACTTACATACTGACCGATACTTATTTTTCGATACGGTAATTGCTCATGGATCCATACACAAGTTTTACAAAACCACTTCACTTAAGATTGGCCTTATTAAATGTCAAACGTTCTTGGAGAACTAAGAAGTTTCCATTTATGATGCTTTTATTTGGTGGTGTACCTACCTATATAAATGCATAAATAAAACTAATATTCAAAATATGTAAAATAATATTCATACACGCTGTCTGGTCAGTACATTTTATTGAATTCGGAATTAAAAATATCATTTGCATTAGATAAATTATTGAAATATTTGAAACCATTACGCATTCGATTTTCAAGTAGTTAAAAATATAAATATAATATTAGGAATATTTTATACGAATCTATTATCAATTTTATATCGTTGTTCTTTTTCCTTCAGAAGTTTATATTATACAGATAATAACTCATCAGCTTAGGTTTTTTTTTATTTTTTTTTTTGTCGACTTCCATTAAATTGTTTAATTATATCGTACATTAATATATTTTAAAGTTATGAATGAAATCTTGAAAATATTGAAGATACTGTTGAAATAGAAAACTTTTTAGTAATTTAGATAAAAAGTACATATTGCATTGTTCCCACGAACCATGTGAAATTTAACACCATGAGAGAATCTTAATGGGGTGGTTTTTTTTTCATTAGTACTTTTGGAAGGGAACTTTTTGGAAACAGTTCAAAAACAAACAGGAATTGTGGCAAAACCGGTGTCTCGTGACGATCCTCGGTTGGCCGCGTGCCCAAAATATCGGCTGTTGAAATACATAATGTCTTTGATACAAAACCGCTGAGCAAAGTCAAATAAAAGAAATCATGTTTATATGTGTCCTAGGTTTGTTTGCGTATTCGCACATGGAGTTCGAGGTGGACCGAGACAAAGGACAAAACGGCGACCCACCCCTAAGCGAGATGGCCGTCAAAGCGTTATCTATACTCCAGAAGAACAACAAAGGATTTTTTCTGTTTGTTGAAAGTGAGTAAATTCTGACGATTCACATGTCATAGTAATGGGTAGGTGTGCTCACGTTGGTTGTGATGATTGTTATTATAGTCATGCTGAACAAATTAAATCAAACACAATTATTCCAAATCCATACAAACAAGAGCCATAGAAATGCAAATATGAGCCATAAATAATCTATATAGTTTTAAATAATACACAATATTATTTATTTGTATAATCGTTTATAGTCTGATAATTATTTACATTCAAATTATGAAGCACAATACAATATACCAAAATTCATGACACTGAAGGTTTAAATTAACTAAATATATAATGTCCATACTAAACATGTGTTTTTCATTTAAAACATTAATAAAGCTAATTAAAATAAAATATAAATTTTTTCATTTTAAAACTAACACTATACGTTTAAAATTAAAGTATATACGTGTTAATTATTCAGCTTATACCATGTCTAAACTAAACGAAAAATAAATTGCCCTTTTTCTAAATTACATTATAACCTAATTTTGTTAAAACATAAAAAAAATAAGTGCTCTCACTTCGTTGAAGTGTGCGTATAATGGGACAAAAAGGTAATCTGTGTACTCACATATTATTACTTGTGTGTGACTCAGCTCATGATATAAAAATATAATTTGTTCTGTCAAATTACTAAATTCTTACTACCGATATTATCCTGGCATCCAGCTTCCTCACAAGGTAGAAACTGTTAAGGAAAATAACACCAATAACTTACCAAAATTAGACAAGACTTCAAGAAATTGGTTATCATAAAGTCTTCCAACGTGCATATAACCATGATAAAAAAAAAATATTTTTTCATATTGATGAACATAGGCACTTAAGTCTTAAACATATATAAAATAAAGAAAACAATATTTGGTTTAGAAAAAATAGTACATTTATAAAATAATTTTTTATTTAACTGAAGTCGTCTGATGCGAGTGACAAATAATTCAAAAACTGAAGCTAAATTTACTTCAATATAAATATTTAACCGACGTAATACTATTTGTTAAAATTATACCTAATTTACTATGTTACATTTTCACACTAGTTATTATATATCTATTTAAATTTATGTATAATCTTTTCATTCACATTATTCTTTAAAAATTAAATTCATTAACTTGTATACTAGTTTTTTTTATCCCTACAAAATTATTGTAACGTTAACAGAATATTTTTGTTCGAATATGGTCATAGTTAAATCATTGATGTAAATAGTTTAATGGAGGGGAGTCTTATCTTCCCCCACTTAAATTTATCGACATAGGTACCTCCTAGAGAGTTCTATACAACTGAAAAAATTATCTAAACATACATTATATTCAAGCAAACGGTCCTTTATGTGAACTTGAAGGATAAAAACACGTATTAAAGTGCACTGTGATACAAAATAAAATCTATTGATTTACGTCCTATTCCAGACATCAAAAGAGAACACAATTATTAAAAGTATCGATATTTTAAAAAGGTTTTCAGACTTCAGTCAAAGGAGATCGCATTATATACCTACTATTATTAATATACACAATATTAAATGAAAGAAATATTGTGTTTAATAATGTCATTATTAGTTGTATATAAATAAAGACGTGAGACTGTTTTGATTACGTTGTGTAGGTACAATTTTTTTATACAGGTTGTCCATAAAAAAATTTAGTCAATATTATTAGAAATTTAATTTAATATGTAATAATATAATGTTCTGTTAACTGCAAATACATTATTTTATATTGCAATAATGTCTAGTTACTAGGTAATAGTTATATCAGGGTTGGTATACCATGACATCAAATATTAATTTACTCTAAAATAGTAAAATTCTAGTATAATAGGGATTTTCTAAAAATATTTTGCCCTGTTAAAATTGGGAATAATAATATACAATAACTGTATAACCTGTGTTCAATTTTCCGATAATTTAAGGTTTTATACGGTATTATACAAGAAAAATAATACCATATTTTAATATCTCTATATATAAATGATTAGGTTCAGTAATAATTTTAGGCAAAAATTGTAAATGAGAATCTTAATTGCTATAATGGAGGATGATACCCTTCCCAATGATATTATTTTAAAACTTTGGTGTAAGGACCATGCAACTTCAAAATCCTAATAAAGCCAGTACAGAAAATATGAGCTCGAGCAAATTAAAATCAATTAAATTTTTAAAATCATTAATAATTTATTAGTAATGTGACCACTTGTTTTATTTCAATACCATTACAAAGATTTTTTACGCTGGAAATCTTTCAGGTGGCCGCATCGACCACGCGCATCATTACAACAATCCTTACAGGGCGTTAGAGGAAACGCTTGTGCTGGAGTCCACGCTGGAAGCCATTATGTCTAAGGTAGACTTGTCAGATACACTCATCGTTGTCACAGCGGATCATTCGCATGTAATGACAATGGGAGGATTGGCAACTCCTCGGGGCAACGACATATTGGGTACGTGCAATTTCATCCCTACTCAATATTGTGCTACACTAAGCAATATAATATAAATTCGATGTCTTGTTTATTTTTTATCACTAAATATAGTGCCAACCGAAATGTCATGCACCAGTTCGATTGACTGCACTATTTAATAAAACTATTTTCGTAACTTATTCCAACTTTTGAATAACTTGTTTTTGATCTTTTTTTATTCGTTGATGGAATAAAACATTTAAAAATATTAATTATAAAACAATTTAAACTTTTCTAAAGGAGATTCGTAAATTCCTACTCAACATTCCAATTTAATCAGATTAAATCATTGTTGTTAGGAAGTGTAACTTGCAGTGACAGTATTAGTAAAAAGTTACAAGCTAAAAATGAAACTATTTTTTTTCGACTTACCGATAAATACTAAAACCGAATCAACATCATACCACGTTCAAATAAATTGCTTCTTCTGTATGAAAAAAAAATAATATTATATATTTGTAATACCCAAAAAATAACTTTACACGACTAAATTGAATGTAAAAGAACAGTTAAAAAACATATCTTTATGATTTTATTTATAAATATTTAGATACAATCATGACACTTTTCTAACGACTTTTGTTGTTTTGAAGTCGTAACTTAAAATTTGTTTTTTAAAGTTTGTATATTACACAAATTACCAAAATTAAATTATCGCTTTTTCAAACAATTTATCAATACACACAAACCTAAATATTACTTTGTTTTAAAGAATATTTGGTGAAATCACACTAGGTCAGCCTCTTTTTTCAATGATATTTTCTAATTTATTTATAATACTATTTATGTAATTTATTTTTCTATTATGGTATGTTCAACTAATGTTTCCTAAAACATTATATATATCATATAAATATCGACTTTTAAGTCAAATTATGTCAATCGTACAATGTGGTATAAACAGCATAAAATTAGTCTAAATATATATATATATATATATTAAATTATGTATAGGTAATAATAATAATAATAATATGGGCAATGGTCAAAACTTTTAAATTACCAAAATTATTTAATATTTACATTTTAAGAAATTTTAAAATTCAATTTACTCTAAAACAATTAATTATTCATGATTCATCTAGAAAAGAAAAAGTTGATGTATTCATACACAAGACCTAATTAATATAATAAAATATTATAATAACTAATACACATGAAAAGTTGATTTACATAGTTATATTATATTATTTTACATGCACGCAAAATAAATGTAATACTTGTTATTGCCCTGCTCGAGACTGTATAATACAAAAATATAGTACGATATTTACGTAAACAAAACTTTCAAATAAAATTAAACAATAATAGTATATTGTTTACAGTTAATGGTTGTACAGTCAATATTATATCATAATTAAACTTAAATAAACACAAATAATTAATACGATTTCCGGAACTTCATTTTTTTTTTTTTTTTTGTAAAATTTAATGATAGGTAAGTATAAAATATTGTGGTCAATAAAACATAAAAATTCATTGTAAACGATATATTAAAATACCGTTTGTCATGCTTGACACAACAAAATTTTTTTTATGTCAACAATTCTATAATTTCTACGTAATATATTGTCATTATGGGGTACAATAATATTATAAGCAATTACATTTATTTATTTGCATTTAAAAAATCTGCTTAAATGTGTGGGGTAAAAACCGACCAGTGACAGCACTTCAGCGTGAATTTCTGTTTTAATGGTGTTTACTAAGTATTAGGTCTCAAGGCCTTTGTCACCTGAGCCTACTGGGAGAGGGGTTCGGGAAGTAAAGATTGTTAAGAGGTTATGATCGAAGGTATTAACATGACGAAACTATAATAAAATACAATTCAACCTTAGATATTTTTCATTTTTCAATAAAAATATCACGTTTAAGACTTCGAAATACTGAGAAAGGAATATTGATCAAACATTTTGAGTTTTCACGTTTTGGAACTGGATACAACTTTTCTTTCTAACCAATTTTGAGTGACTCTTTGTTTATTGTCACATAAACATAATTAATAATATTGTACTATAATATTATATTAATATTTTTAATTCATTAAGTTCTCAACACAATTTAGCATGCTACTAGATTTTTTTTTATTGCATTATAACCAAAAACATAACATCTATAATTCGTCAATTTTCTTCTCAGAGGAAAAATAATTTATAGTAGAATGCTACATTTATAATATTTCATATGTTTTGAGATTAAAGACTGCCGATGAATTTTCTGGTGACAGGGCGATAACAAACAATTACCGAATTTACATACTTCACTATGGGTGGTTTACACCTCATATCTAGTTGAAATCAAACAACTTGTTATTTTACAGAGTAGGTACCTATGTTGACCTACCAAATTAAATGCCTATTTTATGATACACTCGACTGTGAACAACATATTTTTCAAAGCAAGAACATCATCGTAACTAGCAATATCGCGTAATAACATTATGGTTTCCCAGTTAATACCACGGTACAATATCGTATTATTGAGTCATAATACCATTTCAAATGTTTTGCATCGACTTTAACGAACGGATGTCAAAGCATAATGGTGATCGTAAAAGTTAAGAGTATAATATGCATAAATCATGGTATTTATATAAATTATACGGTCTTTACAGGCACTACAATGGTACCTATATGTAAGTTTATTATAATATTTATCATGTACATATATATTTGCATTCTACACTTTTATAAAACGATGCGAAAGTTGAAAGTTGAATGTTTATTTTTATGTTTACTGGTTTTTCATTTCCTATTTTCCGTCGTGACACATAAACGAGTTTATAAATGTATACATTTTACATCTGAGAGGATCTGACGGCGTAAAACAACGTAAGAATCGTACGACAGTTTCATCGTCTTTCATTCCTTCGTGACACAATAGGATATATAGCTGTACACGGAGAGTAAAATAAATAAAATCCTCATATCTCTCATAGTTTTGTTTTGTTTTTTATTTTTATTTTGTATGGATGTTTATATAGAATATGTGTTTTATAAGCAAAAAAATAAATCAAATAAACCGTACGGAGAACTCAGAGTTCACAATATTTTAACTTTAAAGCGACGATGTAATATTAACGAGAACACCTTATATAAACGTCTCGAATCGTCATTAGCACAGTGCTAAGATATAATATTTATACGTTGTTTAGAAATTCATGAACAATAAGTTCTAAATTTATATCCATTATCGTGCAGTGTAGTGTATTGTTAGTGATATAAATTGGCCCTCGTAGACTTCACACTTCGCTCACATGTTGAATGACATAATATGTATATAATACAAATATCTACGCACTTAACGCAAACTAGAATTTTACGAACACTTACGTTTTTAGACGTACATAATTGTAACATTATATTATTTTACATTTAGAGATGGTTATGCTAATTTAAATTTGGTAAACAATATTCTACCAAAAAAAAAATGAATAATAGTTAAATTGTTCAATCTTTTTGTAAATTTAAAAAAAATTACCAATTAAATGTGTTAACATCCAGCCAAGTCCATAAATACTAAAAAGTCATATGAATAAATAATTTTTATATATTATCAAAATATATAGAAAAATTGCTAGTTTGAATTTCATAAATTATTTACCATTACTGTAACTATCACAAAAATTAGAGTAGCAAAAATGTATAGAACTGCAAAGCTAATATTACATGATATAATATGATTATCAACTAAACTGATTTTTTAATACATTCTGATAAACAAAAAAAAATATATATATTATGTTTACACAATAAATTTATATATGGGAGATAAGCTTACATTGTTTATATTTAATTGCATGGTTGAAGTCCAGAGTCCTATAAAAAAAAAGTAAATATAGAAGTTAAATTATATAAAACGGAAAAATGTTTAAAATTAGAAATACAATTTTCGAAAACAAATAATTCGTGATCGGATATTTTCTTTTTTTATGAAACCGTGAAAAAAATGTAAAATTATTAAGACTATTGACATGGAAATAATATGTATGCCTATACATTGTATTTACATAACAAATACCATTACAGTAATGAACATCCAACACGACACAATTTGTTATTTATTTATTTTGACGTTTATGTTTAGCGATGACTTGTTTAACGAAAACAACTTATCCTCTAAAGGAAACGTACAATAAATCATAATCCAAAAGCAATGACATGTACGATTTATTGTTGAAACGTTATTTTTTACCAAACTATGTTCATTTACCATGACCCTAGCTTAATCGAAACCCTCCGGAAACCACAATCCCACAGTTATATGCATAATTTCGTTATCAACTTTTTCTCGTTCATCTAAAGAGGCCACCGCGTAAATGACACTTCGGGGATTTATTTTCCAGGGGTTCGAGCTTTTTCAGTTAAATTTACATGATTTGAGTACTATAATCGTTCAAATTATAGATTAAAATTTACATGTATTAAGCATAGCTGTTGTGCACTGGGCACGTTAATATTATTATAACATGAAAAGAATATTTAAATAATTGTTAAAAAATATCATTCGTTGATTTTAAAAGGTGATTTAGAAAATACCAGGTGATTATTTTATCAAAGAACACTCGTTAAGTATACATGGTTTTGAAACAAAAAAAACTTTAGATGGTTTCGTATCGTTTAAAATAATATTTTAAAAAGAATATATATTTTATCCTCGACATTATAAAAGTTTGTTTTTAATTTTTGAATGACAACATATGGTTCAAATTTTATAGTCCATAGTAGTCAGAGTATTTCGAAACATAAAAATTGAATTTAGGAGTTTATGAGTTATAAGTGTTTAAAGTTTAGATGATCATTGAGCGGAGTGGAGTGGTTACCCTGTAATTTGTTGGTCAACTACTCCGATCATCAAAACTTTAAATACTTATAATTCATATAATACTACTGATTCTAAATTCGATTTTGATGTATCAAAATACTCGGAAAAATATTCTACTTTCAAAGATGAAACTAAAACTGCATGTTGTAATTCAAAAAAATAAAAAAATAAAAAAATTATAAATCATTATAAGTTATATTTTTTTCTTAAA